GGACAAAAGGTACTGGGATGAATCCGTGCTAAAAGATTCACTCATTCAAGTCACCTATTATCTAGTTCAACCGAAGGCTTTACAAATGCATATCTTTATCTTTATTCTTTCTATGTGGTACTTTATTTTTTATTGCAATATACGGAGTAGAATATATACATAGTAATATGGTTAACCGTTTCCGTGTTGTTGGTTCTCTTTGCTGCAGAGCGTGTTGGTGGCATCGTTGTTGAGTGTGCGTGTGTTATTGAATTGCCGGAACTGAAGGTAAAACCTACAACTATTTAAATAAAAAAACAGAAAAAGAGCCACTGGTCTATTATTGTATACTCTGTATGATCTAAATAAAACCTATTTAGAACACATTTTGCTCCTTTTGTTTGATATGATTCTAAATGCCGTGTTTGGTTATTTTCTTAAATTTAGGGGCGGGAACGGTTGGGAGACAAACCGTTGTTTGTTCTTGTGAGCTGAACTTGACCATTGAGTTATGGCGGCATTTGTGACATGGTGCACAGTGTCCATTGTTGTTGCCCATTTAAGAGAAGTAACTTTGCCACTCGTATCTTATCATGATTCTAACTACAGAGAGTTGCACCTGGCTCTGGCCAGCTGACTGTAATAAGCGCTAATGGTTGCTTTCTTTGGGTTTTTTCCAAGTTCCGAGTATTGAATATTGATCATAGCTTCAACTATGCACTCAGAATTGTTTTACGTGTTATATAATTTTTCACATGCTCACGTGTCGTTCATTGTGTGTTTACTTAACCAAGGAAGTTTATAATCTAATTGAAATGGTTAATTGCAAAAAGAAAAAGTAAAAGCATCACATATCTTTGAATGCGGAAAATGAAAAAAGTAAAAGGATGTTTTTAATTAGATTGAAATTTTCTGATCTCAATTGCTGTGGTTTAGTTTACTAGTTGTTTCGTCTATGTGTGTGTAGGGTTGGACTCGGGCCGGGCCGGGTCCGGGTTGGGCCTAGGCCCGGCGGGCTTTTGAAGGTTGGGGTGAAAGCCCGGGACCGGACCGGGTTACCATTGTTTCCGGGCCAGTCCGGTTCTAATTTTGTTTGTTTGTTTTCTTGATTATTTCATCCCTTACCCCCATGGCCCCATCCCCCAAACCCATTGGAAACACCCAACCCAGCCTAAACAAAAAAAATAAATAAAAAAGAAAAACAGGCCCGAACCGGGCCCGGCTGGGCCGGTTCTCATTTTGGGTATCCCGGAACCGGCCCCGGTATCCTCCCTCAACTGGGCCTAGGCTCGGAACCGGTACCCGAGCCCAAACAGTGTTGGGCCAGGCCGGTTCCCGAGCCGGGTGGCCCAAATCGTGTCCAAGCCTATGTGTGTGTGATAATTGTTGGTTGAAGTTTGGTATAGTTTGCCACCACTGTTGTGAGTGTTGTCACTTAATAGTTAAATAGACATTTGATTATTTAAATGGTCTAGCCGGTCTCTTCTCTAAAAAAAACTATAGCCAACCCGCCCTCATTACTGAAACTCATCTTTCTTAAACGAGTACAATTATCTTTTCATTTCATTGGTTCCTGTAAATCGAGAAAATCCTTAACTTTAGTGTTTAGGCTTACTTTTAAATTTCAGAAAAGTATTCTTCCAATCAATATGTGCTGATTGTTTTTCCATCAAATGACTACTTGAGGTTAAATTTATGATAGGTAGATTATCATATTTTGGTGATTAGAATGTTTATATAAATGGATTCCCTTACAATTAAATTATGATATACCCCATAATATTGAGTATACATTATTTAAGGAAATTACAATTATGGAGTCGGATGGACAGACAAATATATTGTAGTATCATACTCACTCATTTCATACTCACTCATTTCATCCTCAAATTGAGTTATGGAAAAACATATGGGGTGAAATGTGGAGACTCCAACGAGGTATATAAATTCTACAATAATTATGCTTCTTTGACTGGTTTTAGTATACCTACAGATTTGTTAAAGTAATAATGAGGCAGATGAGAGGATGATCCACCATTAAATTACTTATGTCACTTTTTTTGTATAATGTTTCCTAAATGCTCTACTTTTCAAGTTTATTAACTAACATTCACTTTTGTGTATGAGTGTATCATAGCAGTGATGCAACATATGAAACATTTGACGAACAAATACGCGTAGGGATTATTAGGAGTACATTTTATGGTGTTGTTACTCCATTTTTTATGTGTTAAGTAATATTAATATTAATTCTGAAGTATTGTTATAACTTATAATAGCTCAATATGGGATGTTTTGTATCGCTTGCAATGGGTATACTTTCAGTGAAGATATTCCAAATTTTGTCACTGAAGCTCTTCCAAATTCATGTTTGTCCATTTGGCACTAAGTCCCTACGCTTGGGATAGGTCTATAGTTTCTCTCTTTGGTTATTTATTTTCTTAGTGGGTAATAGAATTGGGGCTTCACTCATGGGAAGCTTGACATAGACTATCACGCCATATGAATATTTCACAATATCTGCATTTGACACCAACAATCTTGTATACTCGGTATGAATATTTCTTATACTTGCATATGAATATTTCATGTTCTTGCATAGAATTACAATGAAATGATAAATTATGTTACAAAACATTATTAACAAAAGACATACTACCTCCGTTCTCTTTTAGTTGCAACGTTGGACTTTTTGCACTATTCACATATTCTACTTTGACTACATTTTATTAATTGATGTATTATAAATTAAATTTTTAAAAAATATTGTTAAATTCTTCTCATTCAAAATTTTCAAAATATGAATTTTTCAAATTTTTTACTAATACGGAATGAAAGATATTAATGGTCAAACTTGTGCGTTGGCAAACGTGAAATATTGACTGTTGCAATTAAAAAGGAACGGAGGAAGTATCTACTAGTATATAATGGTGTAATGTTGCCCGCATGGACAGCTAAATTAATCACAATGGTGAAATTTGGAACAAGTGACCCGAGATTGAGTCTCGTAAGCACCATTGTGAGAGTGGCTTTCAATGTTAGGAGGTTCCTTGTGCGCAACATACACTAATTTACTCTCTGTGTTTAGTTGAGTCACCATGATTTATAATCTCTCATATTTTCTACCAATTGAATCGAGGCATGAGGGGCCATTGAGTTTGGGAATTCAACAAGTGTAATGTTGTACTTGTGAACTTGCACTAAGAGGTAAGGAAACGGAGATGGAGAAATTAACACATAAATACATATACAATACAACACCTTACTTTAGAATAGAAAAAGAAAAGAGTAGACATCTCTACTTTAAGAAACAAAAACAAATTTTCTAGAATTCCTTGACCAATTTCATGAAGGAAACAAAATTTTGTTGTAGAAAACACGTTCCTCTCAAATTTATTAAAAATTCAGTAACTAAAAAATTAAAAACAAAATTCTAATACTCCGTATATCTTTATCTAAAAATTATTGTAAGCCAAATATCATAAGTTCTCTGTTTTCCTAAAATATCAAACCACAAAGATAAGAAAACTCCACCATTAACACAAACATACATAAAAAGTAATCCCAATAGGTAATTAAACTAACGTTTATATAAACTAACGCTTATACAATTTAATTTATTTTCGATTTGAAATAAGCGAGATGTAAAATCACGAGATATAAATGAATAATATGGCATATTTGTCCAAAAAGTTGAACCCCCAACTCCAAAAGCCCTCCACGCCCTGACCCGACAAAGCACATGGGAGAAGTTGTAAATCACGGTGAATCAACCACTCCTAACGGTGATAACCTTATATCCGTGCGCACCAGAGGCCCAACCCAACACATAGTAGCTGTGACATCCACACGGTCGCTCGGGTTTCGATCCTTGATCATTTGTCCAACTTTCCCACCGCTTTACCAGTTGAGCTACCCGTGCGGATAATAATATGACATATCTATATATGTATATGCATGTACTAGTTATTTACACGCGCGATGCGCGATTAGATAAATGCCCAGTATTATTTTTTTAAGAATATTTATATTATAGTTTTTTTGAAAATGTTTTTTATGAGCATTGTCTTATTAACATTTAGAGAGTGTGAAAATTTATTGCGTTAAGCACTCATCACATTTTATTGAATGAATCATTACATGGTAAGAACCTCCTTGAATGGTTTGGACTTTCTTAAGAAGCTGTGGGGACATATTGTAGTTGTTGTATCGTAGTTTACATTATAATTAACATTTTAGAGTAGAATAAACAAGGGTGACATTGAATATAGTTACTATTTTTAACATAAAGTTGTCACACACTCAAGCAAGATTTTAACATATTTTGTGGTTACTTTTCCACCTCATTTTAACATAAAACTTATGCAAAGACTTGTTTTTTGCACTTAAAGTGTCATACATAAATTGAAAATGGATTGAAAATCAAATTTATTGTTGGTAGGAACTCGGAAAAAATAGACGATGACAAAAAGATGTGAAAATAAGCATTGGGTCAAACTTTCATGGAAACTTGAACCAAAGATAGTATTACTTAGAGCATCTCCAATCGTAAAATGTGCACGGTGCACACGTGACATGAGAAATAGCCACATAAATATTAGTAAATAAATTCTTTCTCTCCTTATTTGAATGATTTTATACAGTTTTGGTAAGTTTTTCTCCACACTGTCAAGGAGACCGTCTAGATGTTGACATTGTTGTTGACATTGCAGGGAAAAACTTACCAAAATTGTATAAAATCATTCAAATAAGGAGAGAAATAATTTATTTGCTAATATTTATGTGGCTATCACTCATGCCACATATGCAACGTGGACATTATAGCATTGGAGATGCTCTTAGCACATGACCCTTAAATTTAAGAGCAAATGCAATAAATTATAATAAATTATAGAACAGAAAAAAATAATGATTTCCATATGTAAATATGAGCACCTGATATTAGTTTACTTGCTACTAAACTAAAGTAGTTTAAACGGAAAAGAAAAGAAATAACACATGATGAAATTAGTCTATTAGAGGGTACACATAACTTGTGTGCATAATGTCTAGGGTACATTATTTCTTAGCCTTAAAAAGGAAGAAAAAAGAAAGATGTATGTTAAATGAAGTATACAACTTTTACAAAGTCGAATGATTTAGGCATTTTTGAATTAGACATGGTAAATGATGATAGTTGATTTCTTTTGAACAAAATAATTATTTAAAAATTAAACCATACTGCTAATTGGCTACAAAGGTGATTATACTCCAAACCGTATAATAGCAGAATATTGGTATAGATCTACTGTTTTAGCTACCTGATACAAACATCTTTTGTAACACTTCCGTGTTCGGAGCGAACTGCTTTTGGCTCTTCAAATCTTTGAGGGTTTAATGCACCAAACCCCCCTGTGATTTGGAAATTCGGCGCATTAGCCCCCTGTCATTTAAAAAATGCGTCAAACCCCCTTGTGTTTTAATTAATCATGCGCCAAATCCCTTATGTGAACAAATTCAATTGTCAAATAAAAGAAAAATGATTAACATTTTTGTATGATTCAGAAATTTTGACATATTTATTTGCATATTCAATCAAAATATTAGGAAAAGTGATTTTCAAATCGTTAAATTTATTCATAAAGGGGGTTCTGTGCATGATTAATTAAAACACAAGGGGGTTTGATGCATTTTTTAAATCACAGGGGGTAATGCGCCGAATTTCCAAATCACAGGGGGGTTTGGTGCATTAAACCCAATCTTTGAATCCATCTCATGATCATGGTACCGGCTAGCCTCAAGTGCTGTAGAAGTGTTGTTTAGTAATAGTTCTCTTCATTTATGGGTTAGCTTGTACACCAGAAGCTGATGGTTGCCTGGATTTCCTCCAGGTGTTTTTCCCTTGGTTTCTGGCACAACTTTTGCCACAAACAGCACTGTAAGCAAGCCAGCCACGAAGTAAATCATGAAAGTGCTAGTGGGACTCCATTCCATCATAGAGTTGAAGGTGTAAGAGACGGCCCATGCACCTAACCAGTTCACCAGAAGAACCAAACTTCCAGCAGCACCCTTTACATGAATAGAGAATATCTCTGACATTAGAACCCAGAGAACCGCTCCCATTCCAATTGAAAATGAGTACACCAGATATAGCTAGTACTGGAACATAATCAAGGAACATACTTTAGATAGAGAGAAGCTACTGTTAGAAAGCAGCCAATGAAAGTTCCTATTGAGGACACCATAAGTGGTCGTCTTCCGGATCTATCCATCAACATTGCCCCAATGACAGTAATGGGTACCTGCACAATAGCATAGGCAATAGTCCCAATGTGTCCATTGGTAAGTCCAGCTGCCGAAAAGGTTTCGCTAGAGTAGAAACCAATGTCATTGATCCCAATTGCTTGTTGGAACACCATCAATCCAACACCAATAATTACAGAACGAATGTATTTGCTGTCAAACAAGTCCATGAATCTGGCTTTGGGTAGATTTTGGAGAGTATCGACATACACCTGAATTAAAATGTTGAGTAAATTCATTAAATATAAACAGTCAAGAACTGGTGACACGGGGATTTTCAGTCCTCTGCCATGTAAAAATATTACTACGTAATAATTACGGAGTATTATTATTTGCATGTCAATGTTCCTCTTCAATGATTGTATTTTCTGAATTATGAATGGATTCATATGGACATCTAAATATGAAATTCACATATATACAAATCCTCGGGATAAGATAAGAGAGTAAAAGAGCTCAAGTGTACTTGAGTTAGCAAACCAACAATTTTGTTGTGGTCATCTCCAAGACGCTGCTTACATCCTGAGTAAATGGTGTGAATTAATGAAGTTTTAAATTTATTTTTAGAATCAAACATATAAAAGTTGAAACATATAGATCACCTACTCAACAAAAAAAGAAAAGGTCTAAGTGATAAAACATTCAAATTCTTTGTACCTTTGAAAAGAAAATATAGAAATATAAAAAAAAATGTCACACATGAGAACAAACATGCCAGGATGATAGCTCCATTTAGCATATTTAAACAAGGTTTGTTAAATTAATGATCTGAATATGAAAAGAACAATAAAAATATAAGAAACTAATTGTATGAGTGCAAAAAAAGTTGAAAGAGAGTAAGAGAGTAACACTATTTTTTTAAGCATTTAGAATTTACTCTTTCTACTTTCACAAAATACATCACTAATCAACCTAAACTGCATTTCAAGAAATTTTTAAAATATTACTGTGGAAAAGGTGGAGAAAGAGAGTAACTCTATCTTATTAAAGCATTTCAAATTTACTTTCTAGTTTCACAAAATACATCATTAATCAACCTAAACTGCATTTCAGGAATTTTTTAAGATTACCAGACTATATGTTTTCTTTCACACACTTTTTTGAATGTAGCTTTCAAAGTCTTTTTGGTGTTGGTGCTAACACACATTAGAAAGCAACTATCTTTTTCCATGTTTTAGAATACACAAAGACCTCCTGGATGTGAGTATTTGCCTTAAGGCATAATTGCAAACACTTCTAAGTTCTAACTTGGAAAGGAGAGCACTTACGGGTTTTCCAAAGGTGTCTTCTTTTTTAAAACAAAAAGTAGAGGTATTTGTTTCAACACACAATTAAAAAAACCTAACAAAAAGTAACAACTGATTGTGGGATCGAGCATTGCATGCAGAATTTGGAACCTCAGAAGTCAGACGTTGATTTTATCACAACATTAGCTTGAATGTTAATAGTGGATGGATCTCTGTCTTCATGGGCGTATACCAAAAGAGCAGATTTGACATCCAAAAAGGTAATGTGCCTGAATAGTGATTAATAAGTGTAAGAACAGAGCTGATATAATTCAGGTAATACTTCGTATATCTTAGTAATACAACTATTCGCATGTCCTTTTGATCGAGTAAGAACCTCAGAAGTAAGATGGGTAGTGATAAGAAGTACTGTGGTAAGAAAGCCTAGGTTTGGTAAATAGAAACAAAAGAGAGTAAAAGAGTTTAAAAGAAATGCCTTCAAGAACCTTGACAGAACTACCAGACAAAAATGATCTTGCACTGCTTTAACTCATTTTAATATTATGACAACACTCACGCTATGTTTTTTAAGATGGCAAACGATGGTTATAGTGATAAACGAGGTTACAGCTAGACTCAAGGAGATAGTGGAAGCTACTTACAGTGCCAAGGCTGTGAGGAATTGCTGAAGTTTGACAAAATTCCATACCATCAGATATACAATCGGCACAAGCGAAAAGTCTGTGCTGGTGGGTTGTCGCCTCAGAAGAACTTGAAAGGACGAAGCAGGAAATAAATTACAAGCTTATTAAAATTGAGAATGGAAGGGGATCGTAATTGGAACATGAATGACGAAATAAATCCAAAAGCATCAGCAATAGGCATCAACTCATTAGGCAGGGAGAAAAGCCATTACCGCCAAACCGACGATATTAGTTAGGGCTGGGACCGGTTCTGTTCTTACTCAAAATGAGTGAACCGTTATAAAAGTTTTAATTAATGAAATCGGTTCGGTTCCTATATAAAAAATCAAGAACCGTTATGGAACCGAACCGGTAGTAAACGGTTCGGTTCTTCCTTTTACCGGTTCCTAAAATAATTGTTTCTCGTCTAAAATTAACACATAATTTTAAACACGTCAAAAATTCAAAACACGAGTATTAAAATTTGGCTTAAGGGTCAAATAGGCCCTTGAACTGACTTAAAGTGTTCAATTAGCCCCTTATATAGGAGGTTCTGCATGGCTGTCGCTAATTGGGGCGGTTCCCGGTAGAATTTTTTGATGAATTTTTTTGAACATCTTCTTCATTAAGTCTAGTTTACTCATACCAAATTTCAGCTAAAACTTCAACCGGGAAGGCAGTCAAATGATTTTCCGAAATGTACTGCGCTGTTTAACTTCGCAGTTACCTTCAAAAAATTATTTGACTGCCTTCCCGGTTGAATTTTTAGCTGAAATTTGGTATGAGTAAACAAGACTTAATGAAGAAGATGCTCGAAAAATTTCATCAAAAAATTCCACCGGGAACCGCCCCAATTGGTGACGGCCAGGCAGAACCTCCTATATAAGGGGCTAATTGAACACTTTAAGTCAGTTCATGGGCCTATTTGACCCTTTAGCCTTAAAATTTTATTTGAAGCTCTAATCACTTCAAACATCAAAGCTCAAACTTAACTAATGAACTTTGAACACTTAATAGAACAAAAGTGATTTAAATTTTCATGTGATAAATGAAACATTAAAAATCGTTGTAGTATCGGAGCGATGAAGGTTACTCGTCATCATAGTAGCAAGAATAGGACACCTACTTCAAGTCGTTCAAAACATTAAAAAAAAAAGACATTGAGTCTGCATGTATAGATATAAAAAAACATTATTACATTCTATTGACTGATAATAAATCTAATAATTAGAAATATCATAAAAATAGTAAAGTAAAATATGTGCAATCAACTACAAGTTATTTGAGTTATTTTATATTTATAAAATTTATGTGATGGAACAAAACTTGATTTGTAAAAAGGAGTTTAATGTATTATATCAACCTCATGTACAATATTTATTACTTCGTACTTCTTTTCCGTTGATTAAATTAGAATTGTTAGTTAAATATCTTATATTGTTTTATTGTTGTTGTTGTGCTGGTTATTATTGCTATATTATTATTATTATTATTATTATTATTGTTACTACTACTACTAATATTATTTTATTTTTTATTTTTTTAATAACGGTTCCATAACGGTTTCATGCACATATTTTTTATAGGAACCGGGAACCGAACCGTTATAACCCGCTTCGGTTCGGTTCCTACAAATGAGGCATTAATTGTTAACGGTTCGGTTCCTAGATGTTGTTAACGGTTCGGTTCCAATCGGTTCTACGGTTCCCGGGTTCCAAAATCTCACCCCTAATATTAGTGGGAGCGGACGAGCGGTAACGGCGTAACTACTCCCCTAAGGTGACTCTTACAGACGGAAATCAAACGGAAAGACAAGCATGTTAATAGTACAAAAGATAAAGCCTAATGTGTAACACTATTATGCAACATGATTACACCAACATTTTTTTCTTACCTAAATTGCCCTAACCTTGATTGATGACTATAAGATTGTATAAGATATGTATCAGGCGAATGTGGTAAGTGCTTTTGTTGTAAGTGATTATTGTGATGGTATATGAAAAGTTTTTTTACTTGAACGAAAAATGAGTATTACAGAGTATATGATAATACGTGGTAGTTAGTACTTACAGATTTCTTCAACTTTATCTAAAATGTGATTATGTCAATGCTAATTTTAGTAATTTAGACGGCTCTACTCAACTCAATTTTAGTAATTGGTTGCGGTTCGAGTTTTTTCGATTCGATTTTCGGTTTTCGGTTTCTCCGACCCAACCCTAATTCTGATTAGTCTCGAATTGAAAAACCTTCAAATAGAAACATCTGATAAACTTATGAGTTCGTTACTTCGTTTGGTGACGATGAAATAATAATGTGAAATGTGCACATCATAAAGATAGCTAGTAATGCACATTCACTACTACTCCGTTTTTGTTTTTGAGAGCAAACACGTAGGACAAGTGTACTCTAGGAGTTTTAATGCCTGGATGCAATAGTAGTTTTATAAGTCAACATGTAAGTAGTTTTAATTACTCGGTACGGATTATTCTTGTTGAATCGATAAAAGTACGGATTATTAGTGTGAATTTCACCTTATTTTAAATACTCCATATAATGTTTGAGCTGGAACTCATTCATTGACATACCTACTTCCAAATTAAAGAAGCTAACATACTACCTATTTAGGTGAGTCCGATTTTGTTTACCCTCATTATAGAGGAGGATTGATCACCCTAACTTCCCTACTTGTCATAAGACACAGTAATTTTTTCCAAATTATTTTACGTAGTGGTTTTTTATTTCCTTTCACAAAAGTAGTTTTTTTTTTAATCTGTGATTCAATTTTTGTAAAAGATATCAAATTAAATATTTTTTAGGATCTTTCTAATGGCACATGTCATTTAATTCAATCACCCTCTTTAAACAAAATTACTTTCTATTTAGAACGAGTGCCATAGACAAATTCAGTCTATTAGCGGCGCTAAACAAATGGAGAAGTAAAGCACTGGAACAAAGGGTCAGAGAGGTAAAAAGAGAAAACATACACACCGGTAAGGGGGTCACTTCGCAATCCCCCCAAACAGGATTCCCACTTCTCTCTTTCAGCGCCATGGCTGGGGCGGAGCATCCATTAAAGAAACGCAAGCTAGGCGAAAATCTTACAGAAACCTCACCTCCGGTGCCGCTTCTCTCACGACAGCTGCTACCCCCACCGCCGGTGGCGGTTCAACCTCCTCAACCGGGTCTTCCGCCAACGCCTCTGCAGCTATCACACGATGAAATTATGCTTAGGAGGAGGAACCAGGAAGAGATCCGAAATGTCTATGTATGCTACAATCGAATAAATTTTTGCATATCTCAGAAGGATAAACACCTCAAGCCTGACCTCGAACGAGCTTATCTCTCTCTCATAACTGCCTCAAGAGGTCCAATCTCTTCCAGCTCCGCCCCCGTTTCAGTTTTCTTAATCTTTTATATATTCATCTTCTTTCTTTGTGTGATTTTTAACTCATTTGGTTATGTTTGGTCAATGAATTTCGCTGGCGGTTTGGCCAATATGTTGAGGTTGGAGTTTCTTTTTTCACTGTTCTCCCGTTTAGTGTTTGAGGCGTTTTGCATATTTAGGCGCACATATATGTTTGACGTATATCAGAGTAGCTGGCACTTGAGAATATAGTGCTGGCTGTCATGTGAAAGAGTCTTATATATGTTTTCTAGGGCTTGCCCTAGTTAACAATTATTAGTTATGCTAGAGTTTGGGTGTCTGTGCGTATCAGGTAGTCTGGCTCCCACAAATGAGATAACTATATGCACTTTTTTAGTCTTATTTTAGCTTAAACACTGCAGTTTCGAAGTAGAGTAGAAGACAATTTAAGGGATCCTATCACATGTACATACTATTCTTTATGCTATGTTATGCTTCTGGTATGCTCTTATTTGGAGCTGGCTTATATGACGTAACATTTATTTTTAGTTGTTTACTAGTCCATATAATGTATTGAGTGATTGAGGTTATGGGCAATTTAATACTTTAATGTTAAACACTGCAATTTCGAAGTAGAGTAGAAAAAAATTTAAGGGATCCTATCATATGTACACTGTAAATACTATTCTTTGTGCTATGCTATGCAGTTATGCTTCTGGTTTACTCTTATTTGGAGCTGGCTTATATGACATAATATAAGATTGCATGCTATGATGTGTTTGAAGTTTCCTTCTTCCTTGTAGGTGTAAGTGCACATATATGTCCTGCATAATACAAAAATCCCACCTGGGTTGTCTGATACACTTAATTGAACTTTTGAATATTGTTCTAAAATCGGTTAATCCCCCCCACCCGTTTTGGCTGCACAGGATGCAGTAGTGTGCAACGTCTAGCAGCGGAGCTTATTCCTAAATATGCATCATACTGCCCAACTGCTCTTGAAGCTGCTGTCAAAGTTTTAATTCATATGCATAATTGGAGTTTGGGAGTAATCAGCACAGGACAAGATGCAAATGGCATCGCATTTGACATAGCCAGAGCCTGCATTTTTGGCTTAGTTGATATCTGTGTAAGTGCTGCTGCAGCAGCACCAACGTCATCAGTTATTCAAGGCATCTCAATGACAGTGTTTCGTGATGCCGTGACCTTCTTCATATCCTCGTTTGAAGGGAAGAATATCTCCCAGATTGTGGATAAAGAAATTCTGAAAAGTGAAGATGTTTTGGGTTCAGTTTCTCAATATGAGCAAAAAGTTTTAGCTTTGGATGAATCCTGCTTGCCCAAGTTATCAAAATTCCGTGCCCTAAGTCTTCTTAGAATTATCTTTACATGCACTAAGAATGTAATTGCAACTTGCTTTGACCTCTTTGACTCCAAGGATACCCACAAAGAAGGATATCACTTTCTAAGGCAGTTAACAGAGAGAATTGTTCAAGCTCCACCCCACTCATTGGATGATGAATGTAATGGATCAACACTGTCTACATCTTCCATGAAAAAAAGCTGTAGTGGCAAAGATTGCAGTGATGATGGTTTTGCAACAGGGAGTAAAACCACCCCAAAGCTCACAAAAGAGGTCTCCAAAAACTGCTTGCTGGGCCTGGTAATATTGATTTTTGTCATTTTTGTTTTCTTAGTCCCCACTCTCACACCCACCCATTCGGCGGTCGACAGTGTAAACTTATATTGTCTCTGGACAGACATTGGACATCAAACCACGATGTCTGAAGAGTCTCTAGATAGCATGTTCATATTATTCCTATATTCTTTTTTGAAGACCTAAAACGAAACAGAAATATTGATTATTATAGAGAAAAGAGGCAAATAAGCCCTCAAACTATTTGCAATTTTGCAACCAGGCCCATGAATAAGAAGATTTGCATATACACCCCTCAACTCCTTGAAAACTAAGCAATGAGATCCTTTTTACCTGTTGGTGCCGGTAATTTCTCATCCCCTTACTGATTGTTTAATTTTCAATGAGTTGAGGAGTGTATTTGCAAGTCTTCCGGTTCAGGGGCGTGATTGCAGAATCGCAAATAGTTCGAGGGTTTATTTGCCTCTTTTCTCATTATTATATCTTGTACTCTGTATAAGCAATTCATTTAAAAAATGCAACCCAACGAATCCTTCACCACCTTGGCAATTCCCTGTAGCTTTATTCAGTGGTGAACAAGTCAAAAACCCTTGTACCAGCTTACTTTTATTTAATCATTTACCTAACATATATCCACCTCTCCCCCATTTATACCACTGCTAGCACACACCATGCCACCATGATAATATTTATTTAGCTATGTAGCTTTTTGTACTCGTGTGATACTGCATTAAATATACTTCTATTTGCCTAGTGCCTACACGTTTATTTTTATAGTTTTGACTTTCATCAAGACCTTCTTCTATATTATCTACTCGGAGAGTACTCGCGACTCAGGGGTGGCCTTGCAGTTAGCACTATGACTCGTGCCTTCCCATTTTCTGAGTTACTCGCCGAGTACTTGGTGATTATCTGAACTCGTTTGCAAGTTTGACTCGGAAAGTTACTTGGCAACCACTATTTTTTGGGGTTAACTGAACTCTCAAAAGTTTAAACTAAAGTAAGATACTATAGAATCTATAAATAATGAGCGAGCATTGAGGATGAAGAAGAAAATGATGACCTTGGACCCAAAGAAGATTTATTTTCTTGTAAAATTATTAGATGATTGATTTTCTTGGAAACATATAATGTTTAATAATTTTCACTGCTTCATCATTAGGATTATTATTATTTTATTCATATCTAAGGATTAAAAGACTAATACGTTATTACAGTACTAGTTTTTTGTGGCATCTACACGTTTTTATTTAATTATTACAGGGCTGAGTAATCACCGAGTAATCCCGAAAACTGGGTCCTACTCGCTGCACGGCCTTGACCGAGTTGCTACTCATTAGCGATTTAACTACTTAGACCTTCTTTAAGGGCTTTTTGCTCCTTTTGCCCAAAAGCTTGCAGAGGGAAAAGTACCTATACTCCTATAGCACTTGAATGTTAATTGAACATAAATCTTGCATTCTTAGACTATCCTAAGCTTTCAAAAATATATATATATATATATATATATATATAGAGGAATGCTCCTGTCCAGACGTCCGGACAGGAGCCGCCGTCCGGCCGGCGGCGTTTGGCCGCCTTCCCGGTGGAATTTTTTGATGAAATTTTTATGGCATGTTCTCCATCAAGTCTAGTTTATCCACAAAAAAATTCAGCCAAAAACTCAATCGGGAAGGTCGTCAAATGATTTTTGCAAGTTAACTGGTCCGGAAAATACATATTCCGGACCAGTTAACTTGCAAAAATCATTTGACGACCTTCCCGATTGAGTTTTTGGCTGAATTTTTTTGTGGATAAACTAGACTTGATGGAGAACATGCCATAAAAATTTCATCAAAAAATTCCACCGGGAAGGCGGCCAAACGCCGCCGGCCGGACGGCGGCTCCTGTCCGGACGTCTGGACAGGATCTTTTCTATATATATATATATATATATATATATATATATATATATATATATATCGGCATCTAATACTTCTTTTAGAATAAATATGACCTTTCCATTATCTCACATCCGTCTGGCCTTGGCATTCTCACACATCTATCTTAACATTTTTCAAATTTCATCTAACCTTCTTGCGGGCATTTTTGTTTCCTTTCCATTTTTAACTTGCTGATATAAACGCCTCAGACTGATAGAAGCAGTGGATTTCATCTCAGCATAGTTAAGTTATACATAACTCTGGTCTTCTGGGAGTACATCATCTTCAAATTTCCATATAGTCACATACCAATATATGTTTTTGATTTCATGCTTTTGTAAACACTAGTCTTGTCCGTTTAGAAGTGCATTAAATATGTTTTTATTTTTTTTATTAAATCTAAATATTTATGTTAGGAAATATTCAGTTTTCTAGCTTTCACTTGCCTTCCTCAAGAAATTTATTAGCTAGTGTTATAGCATTGCTAAAGTTTATGATTAAACGCACATGTATCATTTTGGATGTACATATTTCTACCAGTAGGCAGCCAGAAGAAATCCTACCGTGTGCCTTGAAGGGAATTTGTTTCTACGTCTCTTTGGTCATCAGTTAAAAATCAATGTGACTCTTAACAACTATCTGCTTTGATTCACCAGAGAACTTTGAAGTCTAGTATTGTAATATGTTTCCTTTTTAGTTTGATAATAATAATAATAATCGCAGTGGTAATATACTTATTATCACAGTATACCATTTTGCTACTGAATTTGTGGACACATGAGTTTTATTAGATTTTCTTTAATGGCCTCTGCTGACAAGGTGTCATGCTTGTGTGCTTTCATACAGGTTCTAGACAATGACCTGTCATTAAAAAAATTGATCATTTCTAGGTTTAAGAAGTTACACAAGCCGGGATATTCTCAGACTGTTTCATTGATTGCATCTATTCTGGAAGAAGTTTTTGACTCTTTTTTGGATCAAGTTACGGTAAAGGAGATTAAGGAAGAAGGGGAGGATGATTTGTGTTCAAGAGAGCATAATAATAAGTTTTTGCTTCCTAGAGCATGCAGTCAAGGGCATGCTTCTGAGGTTTCCAGAAGTTCAGTAGTTTCTCAATTAGCAGATCGCGGTTCGAATCCGGATATTTTATGCTCAAGGTCCTTGACTGTTGATTCAAACGAGCATGGTAATTTGTTGCATCACAGGTCAGGGGAATTGTTTAATGAACCAGTTTCTTCACCTATAATAAGACCATCACACTCGAGAAGTTTCTCCATCGATAGTGGAAACTGTAGTTCTCCAATAGAGAAAAGTCATATCCCCAACATGGATCATCCTCTACCTGCACTGAGAACTTCTTGTGAAGGTGCAGTTTGCGCCACTCCATCCCCCAAGCAAAATTTTCCCCTACACCAACCTTCAATAAATCAGGTGGCTTGGTACTGTGATGGTGACCCAGCTTGTTTGGATATATGTCCTGCTTCAAAGCATCTCTGGGTTGGTTCTTTAGATCATACTGTAGCTGAAGGGTTTCTTAGACTTCAGTTTGAAAACATCGGTCCTTTGGACAATTTTTCGTACTTCCCCCTAAAAGGGTTTGCCTTGGTAGAGTTTAGGTACATTCGAGATGCAGTGAAAGCCAGGGATGTCATGCGTAGAGGTTCTCCTTGGGGCACTTCTCTTTGCGTTAAATTCTTTGATGCAGGATTTGGAACTAGGGGCACTATAAATGGTGTGGCAATAGGTTCTAGTTGTCATGTTTACATTGGGAATGTCCAAAACCAATGGGTAAAGGATGAAATAATCCATGAAGCAAGGCAAATGGTTATCAAGGGCCATGTTATGGTTACTGATCTCTGCAGTGAAGCTGCATTGCTAATGGAATTTGAGACTCCTGAGGAGGCTGCCATTGTCATGAATCATCTGAGGCAACGCCGTAATTCTAAGAATAGCTCTCCGCGGCCCCCAAACGCAGGTCTAGTAAATGCTACTATGCATGTTGAAGGTTCAAGACTGGCTTCCACCTACTCCGCCAATAATATGGTTGTGCAGTCTCATCATGCTCAGGCCATGGTTGAACAACAGACCAATGCCCACATGACCAGGTTTTAAAATCTTTATGTGCTTCAGGAGATAGGAACACTACTAGGAATTTAATGTTGCTATAAACCAAGGATATTTGATTGAGGACTGATGTAGTAATATCTGTTTTAACATTCTATTCTCGAAGTGGTAAAAAGTAAAAACTACCATTTCCCCCATATTCATCTCTTGTTCTCATGATCTATGGTTTCCCTTGATCCATATAGCAACCCCATGCAGTGGGAAAAGTTTTAGTTTTTTTTGAGGGTTCTATTCCCTTGCTGATAGCTTTTCCCAGATGCTATTCTGATATTTTGGGCTATCTTTGATTTGTAGTTAAGTAGAAATGCTCTATGCTCTGGCTGATGAGAGATTGTGTGTCAATTGACCCTTTGTCAGTGAATCAGCCACATAAGTAATGCAAAGATTAGCATTAGGAATCGTTACCACTTTTAGCAGTTTCCATTGTGCTTTGTTTTATCTAAATGTTAATGCTTATGACGCATCATTCAACCTTTTTACATGAAGTCATGTACACATACTAATTTCCCATGAAAAGTTTCAACTGTTTCGATTTAGGTATCAGTCATATTAAGCCTACGTTTAGATCACTATTCTGGGTAATTCTGAGGCTACTCATGCAACAGATATAGCCACTATATAGGTTTTTTTCTTCCTCAAATGTGCTTGTAGCTATTGTGGCTTTTCTTTTTGTAATCTCTAGAAATGAACTAGTTAAAGTTATCTTCCGATCTGTACCACACCATTACAGCTTATAATCATATTCAAGGAGTTTAATTGCTGTGTGCTTTCTACTTTTACAGTCAACCTGGAATGCATCATGTTCTTGTTTCTGCAAAGCCTGAAAATGGTTTTGCGGAGGATGCATCTCCTAGAACAAAGCCAGAACACAGGGCTGTAACAGCAAGTGGACATCATGGATTTCAATCAAACTGGAGACCTGTTGTGGGTCAAGGTTAGATATTATTTTGCTGCTCAACTCTCATAGTTTTCGATAGATAAAATGTACTTACAGTGCTCAAACCATCACATAAACATCAGGTGGAGGAATTTCTGGTAATGGTGATCAAATGTGGGCACATGTAAAACCTGAAAGAGAGCTCCACTCTGGACCAACCCAAGGACCTACTATGGGGCCATCAATCTCCATTCAGGGACCTCCTGTTGCATCACCACAACCTGTTCAAACGCCTCCAGCTGCACCACTTCATCGAGTTCCTGTAGGGTCTCCACATGCACCACCACATCCACATCACACACATCTAGTACTGCCACCACAATCAATTCAGCAACCTACTATTCCACCATCTCAGCCAGTGCAATCTGCTTTCTTTCGACCTGGTTACTTCCCGCCAAGTGGTTGGGATGCACATGCTTCAAACCATACCTTTCATCCAAACCCTTCCCCTTCTAGTAGTATTCATCACAATGCACTTGTACCGCCATATCTGTCTGCTTCTGTGACTCCCCTTTCTCAGACACAAGCCAGCTCAGCTCCAACACACAATCATATGGTCTACATGAACAATCAGCCTTCTTTGACATCTTTCCCTGCCCCACATCCTGAATTTCGATATCCATTTACTCATCAACCCGTGTTTCATCCTGCATTTCATTCATCCCCACCACATCCAGCGCCACCTACTGCGCCTCCTCCGCCTAATTCCCCACCACCCCCTCCCCCTCCTCCATCATCTGGATCTTTGAATTCTGAGAATTCCACGCAGTGGCAGGGAACCTTGAATAAAAGTGGGGTTCATTACTGCAATGTCTATGCACAGAGGGTAGAGTCTGTTGTGTGCAACTATTCAAGTTGTGTTGCTGAACCAACAGAGTAAGTAATTTAAATCTATTGTAATGCAACTGATGATATAGGGATAGTTTTCTCACTGTATTTTCATCACTCTTTTCCTATATGCAGATGGCCTGCAAAGTTAGATATGACAAAACGCACAGATTTTGAGCATATCAAATCTACATTTTCTAGTACCCCGCCCAATAAAGTGAGTTAGTCTTACTTGACCATTTTTTTGCAGTACAGCTTAGCGTCTCTTATTTCTTTAAAGCACAAAGGATAAGTCTACCTTTTTCTTGTTTCTTGTTGTTGAAACTTGAAAGTACAAACTACGAAGTAATGCTTGAGCTCATTTCCAGGTCTTTTGTTTATTATTATTATTATTATTATTATTATTATTATTATTATTATTATTATTATTATTATAATTTTATTATTATTATTATTAATGATGATGATGTTGCTACTACTCCCTCCATTTCTAACTGTTCTTCCTTTAGTTTTTTATCCGTCTACAAGAGTTCTTCCACCCTCCATTTTTAGTAGAGTTTTACCACTAACTTTGCCTTCTCTTTCCAACTTTCTACGCTTCTCTCACTCTTCACTTGGTGTGAGCCTTCATTTCTAAAAATTTGAGCAAAACCAAAATGTTAAAGAATAATTGGAGATGGAGGGAGTATTTTAGGGAAAATTCCTGGCATTTGATCCTTTAAAAGGGCAGCCCAGTGGATGAAGGAATCCCCGCAAGGCGAGGGTCCGGGGAATGGTCCTACCACAAGGGTGTATAAGGGGCAAGCCTTCCCTTATCAAATTTTGACAAGAGGCCGCTGTCCCCCCTCCAAGCCTTGATCCTTAAAGTTTAAAACATTATTCAGAGGTCCAGAGGTCCAGAGGTGATCCTTTATTGAGTTATTCAGGTATTCTTTTGAGGATGTAAATTACCCTAGTCTAGCCTAAAAATCTTGATCATCCTCTTTCTAACACCTTAAAGAATAAAGACTCAATTTAGCTTTAAAAGTGATCATCCCAAGGAGGTACAGAGTTATCAAATCGAGATTCAAGTCATGAATCGTAAGAACGATTTTGTGAATCATGAATCAACTGTGTTGTGAATCTTAATTCTTAATATACATTACTTAGAAAAATATACTACCTATGTCCTGTAAAACTTGGCCAAATTTCATTTCTTGGCCGTCCCAAAAAACTTTTCCATTCCCATTTAAAGTAACAAATATGTTGCTAAAGTTATTTCTCTATCTTTTGCACAAATTTCAACCACACTGTTTTTACTTAATTATTCTACATGCAAATCAACATTGGCAAAGTTTTATGGGATGGAGGGAGTAGTATATTAAGTGGTAACAAACAACAACATTACCCCAGGCTGCAAAGGCTCCCACCTATGGTGGGGTAAGGGGGATCCGATGTATGCAATCTTACCCATGTACTAAAGCACAGAGAGTCTGTTTCTGGATGACCCATGATGAAATTTGAGTAAAAAATTGCATGGATTGTCTGCCTGCTTCATAAAAAAGAAGCGTAGATAGTTTAGTGAGCCAATTTGCTTTATTCCATGATATTTCCAAGCCAAAAAAATGGTGAGTATTTAGCTCCATTGGAAATGATGGAAGAATAGTATATTAAGTGGCATAAGAAAAAAATCTGTAAATCCATATACTCCCTCCGTCCCGCTAAGATTGTCCCATTTTACCTTTTCGGGAAGGCCCACTAAGATTGTCCCATACCAAATTTGGTAAAGATTGTGTGGTTCTAAACCATTCTTACTTTATTCTTTATCAATTTAATATCAACCACACAAACTCACTTTTCTTAATAATCGTGCCACCTTCTCTCGTCCCAATCTTAGTGGGACGGAGGTAGTATCATATTTGACCTTTAAAATATTTGCCGATGCAAGCTATTCATCAAAATACAAAACATAAAAACGCCAAAAATTCATATATGTTCATTGGTTCAGTGGTAACTAGCGACTGGTTATCCCCTAGATATAAGATAATCTAGTATATCCAAGTATCCAACATACATCTTCAAGGCTATTTATTATTGTTATTATGATTATTATTTATTTTTAACTCCGATGTCATGTCGATTCATGTTAGCCAACCCCAAACTCTTTTTGGGGTTAAAGCTTGGATGTTGATGTAGTTGTTGTAGGCTTAGGAATTGAAAACTAGTGAACTACATATTTTCAAGAATCACTTCTACACCAATATCGTCTTCTGTCAAGTTAGACAACCCAGCAGTCCCCCCATTTTGTAAGAGATCTACCACTCAAAATCAACCCTAGGAAGGTCTTTTAAGGCGTGGTTGCATGACCCCAGCTGGACTTAATCTTAACCTAGGACTGAACCAATTCGAATGGTTCACATTTGCCCATATTAACATGAGACATGCATAGGGGAGTGATTTTTGCTAGGTTTGATGAAATATGCAGAGTTGCTCTTTCTTAATGCTCTGTAACATTCATGTTTCATTTATATGGTAAATTGAGGTGCAAGGGAGATAATTATAGCCTTCTGTTTCTGTTGTTTAAATGAGACTAAGAATTGGTTTTTCATTTATCTGACTTGCTGACGTTGAATACAATGCAGAGGGAGATATGCTGGTTGCTTCCTGCTTCTCAAGATGACCATAAGGGTGTACGTTATTTATCTGCTCTTATCTTGTTGTAAATTGTGTTGTTCTCATTGTCTTGTGTGTTTACAAAATGTAATGTTATATGAATATTTACTTTAATAATGTTAAGACACTCACATTAAAAAATAAAACAGTTTCAGGATTTCACATCATACTTGAAACAGAGGGAGTGTGCGGGTGTCATTAAGTTGCCAGCTGTAGGATCTATATGGGCTAGACTTCTTTTTATCCTTCCGCAGTGTCCAGAGACCTGGTCCATGCTCTCTCTTGAGCCCAACCCAGTGCCTTGCCTCATTGGTTTGGTCCTGCCCAAAGAAACTAACTTTGAATGGGTATGACATCCTTTATTTATGGATTATAATCAAAATGGTCTCTGCTTTGCAAGTGGAGCCGGCAGCGCTATTCGAGGAGAGAGAGGTAAATACCATTTTCCAAACATATTAGAAATGACTGACTGACTAATTCTCTGTTTTTGTAAATATCTCCAGTTTCATTAGGAAATTGTCTGGATATTAAATCAAATACTTGTGTCCAATTGATGGGTTGTATTTAGGATTTCATTTATTTAATCATGAAGTTTGTCAGACTAGAAACACTTTGAGAGCCAGTTAACCTCTATTTGCTCTTCTTTTTATAGAACTGTACTCGATGATCAATGTAATGAATGAGCAACAGTTTCGGGGATTGCCCGAGTATTTTGATGTTGTTTCGAGAAGTTTTTGTTCCTTAATGAATGAGAAACAGTTTCAGGGATTGCCAGAGTACTTTGAATTAGGATTGCCTTGGGTAAGTGCCTCTTGGGTAAGGATTATCTGTTCTTTTTTAATTTTCGAAAAACAAGTGTTTGGTAAACTATGTCAGTGAAATAAGTAATATGCTACTCCTCACGCCTCTAATCCCCACATCCCTCCCTTGTTAGTAAAATGTACCATTAGTTTGTGCTTCTCTTTCATACTTCTACTCTTTGCTCACTCTTTCCACTAGAGGTGGGCCACATTCCTAAAAAGTTGTGCTTGTGCAAAACCAAATGTTTAAGAACAAATCTAGATACATGGGTACTTATTTTAATATTAAGAAGACTAAACTATCTTAATTATTAATTTGTTATTATGCAGCAAAATTTTCTACTCCCTAAACATTGGTGAGTTTGGTCTCATGTAAAGAAGAAATAGATGAACCTTTCTGTGAAATTACAGTTGGGTTTGTGCTTGTATTATGTTATTTCTTATTTCTTTCGTAGGGCTCTAGAACAAAAACATATTTGCTGACTTCGCTGTACTGTATTGGCATTGTAAATGTAGTGTGTACACGGTTAATTTTATTTACGTTCTTCTATTGCTCTTAATTGTGAAAATTTGCTTCCACCATTATTTTCTTGGGAAAGCCGAATTCTTTATGTTTGCATAATATCTGATGGAGTAATTTAACTGTAAAAATGATGGTTAATTACTTACTATTTACGGAGTAATTCATTAATTATTATAAGCATGCAACCCTGGTGAAAAGCCATCCCAACAACTGCTGGGAGTCTTAGCCATGTACATACATAAACAGTTGTAGATAAGTTGGTCTGTTCAATTATAAGGTATAGCACTGTTAGATTTTGTACTAAAACTGAGAGGACAGACCCCTACTTGGTTGTCAGACTTAGTCCTGTACATGACCCAATAATAATACATTTTACAGCACTTGGAAATAAATCAAGTTAAAGAGGTGGGGAAAATAACAAACTAGTGGAGTAGTAATAATTCACTGTACAAACACTAGTAGTTATAATAATACTAATAAGTTGCATATCATTACCTTCCCATCTCTCTGTCTATACACAACCCTTACAACTCATGCTTTTGTCAATAACCTATTGTTGTTTTATCAAGTCCATTATTTTCACAAGTTATATTTTCCCCACTATTTCTAACTTTTGAAGTAATCTTCTATTTTGTTTAACTTGTAAGACTTATTAATCAAGGTGAATATATATTTAGTGAAACCTCTATACAGGAGTATTGTATACAAGGATAATAGTGTCTACTTCATTATTACATATATTGGTCACAACTTTATGATTTTTTATTTCGTTATAACCTCTCAGTTAGAATAGAACTTGCTTGGTCTTAGTACTTATCAGTTTGAAATGCTGAATAGTGTACAGGTCCATTTAGTAGACTTGAGAATATTAAGAATTGGGGTGAAATTGTGTAAGTGGTTCCTATATTTGTGAAGTATGTGACTGGATTCTTTTTCATGAGACAGTGGGAATAGATATTTACGAAAATCATGAAGAGTGTGTGTGTGGGTTGTGTTATAAAGTGGAAGCATTGTACCTTTGAGTACTAACTATTACAGGTGTGATTTTGTAAAGAAATTTATTTGCTGTAAAGATAAACAGAGCATAAATGTACTGATGGCGTGGAATAAGGAGACATAAATGAAATGAAGATGAAGTGATATTTGGTGGGGTATGACTAAATGGGGGAGAAGTCATGTGATCACAGTGGAGAGAGGGAGGGTTGAATGATGGGATGAGGAGAGTGAATAATCCAGTCAAAGTTTTGGGAACCCGCCCGCCCACCCACCCACCCACCTTCATTTCATCTCTTTTAACTCTATCTGGCTGAGTTGGTTTGGTATCATTCGCCCCATTCTACAAGGCAGTTAAGAAAATGGCTCTACCTCCTCTCTTCTGAATCTGATGAATCTCATACTGTGATATTGTTTGCTGTGATATACATAGTATATTGCTTTCAATCATTTTAAGAGTTATTCAATGTTGAATATTGGAGTTTCCAAGACGCTCTTTTGACACTGAAATATGCATCATAGATTTCTTGTTTCTAATTGAATTGATTTGGAACTAGATGAGGTCATACTAGATTTTAACAAACCGGATCAAAGCATATCAAACTAAATCAAGTCGAATTTCAACAGTTAGTAAAACACATTTCGTAAATTAGGGGCAGATCAAAGAATCATAAATATATACGTAGTAAAGTTTTGGAACAATTTTTTTATACTAACAATATTAAATTGTGATATAAAAATAATAAAATGGGGAATTGAACACACGTATTTTTTTTTTTCAATTTTGAATTTCAAATTTATAATTTATTTTTGGTGTTTTTTAAAATTTATTTTATCTATTTAAACTTAATAAGGGTAAATTTATTCGTTTATAGGAAAATGAATTATTTTTTCCACATTTTAGAAGTTTAGGTGTATATGTGGACCTCCACTACTTCAAATATTTTTTCACATTTTCTCATAAAAAATGTAAAATTTTAATCTTTAACCTTACAACATAAATTCTTTAAAGTTCGCCAGTAGCCACTGAACATAGATATGACTAAATAGTGCAGTAATGCTAATATTTTTTTTGGTAACTATCTACGTATTACAGAATGAAATCACAAAATACAACAATTAACAAACATCACAAGTACCTACAGAATTTGAGCATTTAATTAGTGACTAAAAGTAATAGGGAGTAATTAACTAGGCAGACAAGCAACCAATTACCAATGCCATAACGAGTGTTTGGAAAGACGAGAAACAGCCCACTGCAAATAATCCCAACTATCAACGGGAAACCTTGCATCACTTCAACCATGTCCGGGGAACAGACAGTTTGTCACGCGGTGGTCGGAAAATGCGATTGCCGTGAAAACCATCACCGACATCACCGCGTGCACGAAGTCCGTGAATCCAACCTTGTACCGGTCGTCCTTCGGGACTTCCACTCCCGGGTCGCTCTTGAACACTGCCAACCCCCGGGGCGTCACAAAGTCGTAGTACACTTTCCGGCCATCCGGCCCCCGGAAGCTGTCGGTGAAGTGGAAGAAGAGGCAGGAGAGGGCGCAGAGGGCCAGGAGGACGATGATCATGGTGGTGCTGACGGGGGAGCACTGCCCTTTGGCGTAGATGCTAGGGAGGACCATCTCGAAGGTCAGCAGCGTTCCGGTCGGGAGGAAGTTGACTAGCATATAATATGTGTCTTATATACTAATTTAATGATAGAAATAAAAAGTTATTTAGCATTTGAACCACATTCTTCAACAATTTAAAATGTACGGAATAATGTTTTCATATATACGGATTTGAACACATAAGTACAATAAGTAATAAAAATGGCATTGCCTATTTGAGTAGAAGTAGAGAGATATTATTAGAGAATAGATGATATTACTGTGACCGTGTGTTTGGTGAGCCGCCACAACATTTTTCGATCTCTTTGGAGTCTTGGTATGGGTGGAGAACAAAAGTAATACATTAGTAGTACAATAGTAGTATTGAAAAGGATTACGAATTTAAGAAGCTAATTTATTAAATGTAATGACTATGAAACAATTAACCAACATATAAGGCATAAATTTTTTTAGCAATACAAATAATATTGAGCAGCTAAACATTTTGTTTCAGTTGTATCACTACATTAGGCTTCCGTTTAATGGTGTGTGTTTTGAGTAAAATATGTATCAATATATACAGTACGTGTGTTATACATTTTATGCTTAAAGTGCGTGAGGTTTCTAGAATTTTCTGAAAAAATCATAAACGAGAGTATTTTACGGGAATAAAATACGTATCAATACGTACGGTACGTGTATTATACATTTTATCCTTAAAGTACGCGAATTTTTCCGAATTTTTTGAAAAATTCATAAACGGGAGTATTATACGTGAATTATACGTTTGAGTGTATTATACGTGAATTATATGTGAATAAACTAACAGAGGTAACTGCCATTTTCCCAGTTATGGGTAATCGGTATATCAAAGATGTGTAGCGGTCTCATCTCACTTGAGGTTTGTGTTGAGATTTATTCGGTGTGAATAAACAACGTGTGATTGAGGCAAGGTGAGTGCCATACGAATTAAGAATAATCAATATCTATGATTATTTTGCTATTAAACTATACATACATTAGGGGTTGGGGCAACATGAGTGACTATCTGTGATAGTGCTCGAACCTATTGGCTATTATAGATTATATAACTAGTGTTTAAAAAATTAAAGATGACACACCGATTGATAGAGTAGAGTTTCATACAAATCCTTTGTTTGGATTTCAAATCCGATATCTCTTCCTTGTGACATCCTCTTCCTACCAAGTGAGCTACACTTTCAGTTGATTTGGTAGTGTCTAACATACACTTCATGGCGTTTGGTACGTACCATCCCACTTCTAAATGATACGATAATGTTCTCATGTCTCTAAATAAATTACTCACTCTCTTTAAATTGTAATGCCAACATACACAGTGTAAAACAAAATACGTAGTAATATCAAAGCAGTGTTCTCTTCTATGAAATTTATACTCCGTCAATGGGGCATTTCATAAAGTCAAAGGAAACAAATAATTTTGTAATATGCGTGAAATTCAAATCGGGCCTTTTATATATAGGGACGGAGGAATTACACAACACTGAGTATTGATTTTTTTTTTATAAATATGAAAACTGATTACAAATACCTAAATTTGAAAGACGTGTTTTACAAAAAATTCAAGTAAAAACATCACAACATAATGATGTTATTTTAACAATATTGAGTGATTTTTTATTGGGTGAATTTGACTTTGCATCCCATTTTGAAAATGTTTTGATTTTGCACTCAATTACATAACCTTTTGTGAAGAAAAATTTCTCAATTGAGTGCAAACTGCAAAGTCACAGGATTTTTAAGTGAAATGATTTGCAA